CTTTACTGGATCAGTGATTTCTGCCTTCACTTTCCACGGAGACATTTCGGATTCGGTTTTTTCGACATGGATCGTTGTATTTCCACTGTCAAGATTTTCCTTGTTACAGACTGCATTTCTTTTTCCATGTGCTTGGGCTAAAAGATTGCCAAGTGGAGACGGCTTCTTCTTGTTTTTAATCGAAGCGGGTGGAAGACGATCGTCCACATCCAGTGCACCCTTAGTGGAGGATGAAACCATCTTTTCGCACGTGTTATCAGTTGACAGACAACCAAACCCACATTTTTTTGATGGTTGACTCAAGGGGGAGTGTGGAAGAAATTCGAACCCTTCCCTCTCAAGATTTTCTTCTGTAACTCGATAACGACACCATTTTTGGGAGGAAAAGGAGGGTTTATACATGGCCAGCCTCTTTTCCTCGTCCCTGGGTCTCAATGAGTTTTCTGTTACGGTTTCAACCGAGGGAAGAAAACATCCTTCTTGATTACTCGAAGCAATGTTCACAATCTGTAATGGGCCTCTTCTCGGTGAAGCGAACTTCATCTGCATTTGTCCATCTAAATTTTTTTTTCCTGTTTGCTTCGAGTCAAATGATTTTGCCGGTATTCCAGTAGTGTATCGACTGCAAATGTTTTCACGGTGAGTTGGCAAGTCTTTGCTGTTTGATATTTCACGATAGGCCGATAAATTCCTTGAGCGACGTGGTGCCAACGAGTTTCCTTGCGGCTGCCTAGTGCGATATCTTGAGTGGTTTTCAGAAGGAAGAACATCATCAAGGCCATTTTCAGTGATAGCAACACGCGTTTTCCTCAGATCTCTTTTCATGTAGCTAAAGCGATTGCGCTCCGTTGACGAGTTCAAGTCTTTGTTGCCGACCGAGGTTGCTGTGGTTAAGTGGGTAGTTGTAGGAGACTGATGTGGATATGAGCTTGATTGTCCCTGGTTTCTTCCGACTTCGTCCGCGAAACATTCCATCGACGCATTTCTGGGGGGGTTACATGATGCTGAAGAGCGCTTCCTTTCGCAGTTCTGAAACTCAAACCCTGAAGGGATGTACTTTGGACCTTGGTCAATACCATTTTTTCCACAAAATTGATCAAGGAAAGATATTTCACCCTGCGATCCTGGCTCGCCAAAGACAACATCCAAATCTTGGTGTGGAGAGGATTTTCGCAACTTGGTGATATCTTGTTGACTTGAAGAGCCATAACACCGATTTCCATGCGCCTGCCAAGGTCCTAATCTTCTGTTTGGAATAAATCCATCTAACCAGGGAAATTCTGAATGAGAACCACCATATTTTACTTGGCTCTTCACGATTTCCATTCCCTTTTCAAGAGAGCACTTGTCATCCAAAGGGCCATCTTCAAACTGCGAAGATTTTCTTACCGTACACTGGCGAGAAAGCCGATCAGATCGGGATGCGTGCAACCAATCACGAGCGCTTCCACGATTGTTGACCCGATTGATCTGCTGGCTCTTTTTCATAGCTGATGCCAGTAAAAAGGCTAAGAGTTGCCTTTCGTTCTCTAATGGTATGTAGAGTGAAATGATAAAAAAATTTTTTTTTCTTAATAAGAAAATTCATGAAGTTTCGCAATATTTTAAGAGAATTGAACTCTGTTGATTGAATTACATGGCTACTTACGATATAATTACTATAAAAAGCCAAAGTTAGTTCTTCGAGGTACATGATTGGCTAATTTGTGAAATCACGCGGGCCTAACGTGCATACAAAAAGAATACAAAGGAAAAGAGGAGGAGAAAATTATTATCTGAAATTTGTGAACGAAAGAGATTTTCTACACTTACATCATACTTGCGTTAAACGTACGCAATACTTGCGTCATACTTACATAATACTTATGTAATACGTACGCAATACTTACGTCATATTTACATAATACTTATGTAATACGTACGCAATACTTACGTCGTATTTACATAACACTTCCCTATTGCAAAATATTTACTTCGATTTGATTACGTAATATTTCAGGCACATGTGCCAGAGCACCTGCGGTAATATTCGGAGCGTGTGGTAAATGTGGAGATGGGGGGGGGAGGTAGGGTAGGAAGGAGGAGAGGCTGGGAGGGGCTATTGAGCCCTAGAAAACTATGAAGTATTTGGAAAACTGTGATTTGATTACGTACGTGCCACAGCACCTGCAGTGTGGTAAATTTGGAGACGGGGAGAGTGGGAGGGGCATTGGATTTGTGCCGCTCGCAATGAGATGGTTTTGCGTAGAAAATAAGAATAACAGGTGTATTAAAATTAGTATATCTGGAATTTTGCATGTTAATAACTAAGAACTCAACGTTCCTGCTGATTTAGCTGAAAAAAAGCTTTCAAAAAAACACAGGCTTATTATCCCATTCGCTCTGACGAAGGGCTAACGCTTGACACGTCAGCTCGAAACTCTTTTTAAGGTGGCCAACTTACATAATTAACTCAGTTGATAAAACCAAAATAATCTTGTTATTCTCTCACAACGACGCCGCACCATAGTTTCTTAAAAAGCTTACCCCTTGATGAAATATTAGACACACGAAGTAAAGATTTCATTTATTTCTCGATAGCTTCATTTTAAAATACTCCAAAAAAAGTCGCACCAAGGTATCACTGTAAAGAGAAGCGTTTACCTCCATTGATAAAGAAATCAATGTTTTTTCTAAGATTTTGGCTCCTTCAAAGTTTGATGTCATTTTTACTGAATTGGAAACTTGCCAAGGTTGTTACCGGTATACGCGTCAGAGAAGGGCTCTCTACTGAAGACGTATTTTAATTAGGTATTTTGAAACCGATAAGAAAACAGTTAAAACGGGCAAGCAAAAAAAAAAATCAAACAAAACAGCTACAAAAAGGAAATGAATATGACAGGACCTTAATGGATCCAGAGTGCTTTTTTTAAATTCGTGTCTAATTGATTTAGAAGGCAGTATGCCTTGTTTATACCAATACACAACAAAGTTACCAAACTCAATGAAAACATGAATCTCTGACACGCAATTTAGACTTGCTTAACCCTTTAGCTCCCGTGAGTGACCAAGAGAGAATTTCTCCTTACAATATCAATACCATAGCAAGCATAAAAGTGATGAGAATGAAGTAAAATATCAATTAGGGGATTATTAGTTGATCCAATACCAAATTCTCCAAATTGGCATCATAGGAATTGTACGGCAGACAGTAAGGAGAATTACTAATAAGATCTTGGGAGTGAAAGGGTTAATCAACTTGGAAAAATAGACTGTGAAAACTACGACTTGGTATATATCCACCTTACATTGACAATCGACATTTTATTTATTTATTTATTTATTTTGCAGAACTTCTCAAATTTCTGGCTTGTTATGTGTGCCTTGATAATCATAATCTGTTTCCATCCCTAATATCAAATAAATGTACTGCTCATCCCAGATTATTTTTTATGTCTTTGTGACTGAGGAGCAAGTGAAACCCTTCATGTCTGCAGGCCTTCGGAACGAAAAGATTTGGTTGAAATATTAGTCATTTTTAAATGCTTAAAAGCCTTATAGATGGACACAGAGAAATGATTTTTAGTAAGGACACTATATGCGAAGAAAAAAAATCAGTTTTAGGGTAAAAAGTATTCAGCTTTTTGTCTCTCCAATTTCATTTGGTTTACTTTGTGATATGTTTCCCTTCAGCACATTTACGACGTCTAAATATTTTCAGTGAGGGAAGAAAGCAAAATTGTTGGTCGTTTTTGTTCTTTTGTTGTGTTATTTTATTGTTTGTTTTTTTGTTTTGGTTGGTTTTTTGTTTTGTTTTTTAAATTAAATTTCCGTTCTTCAGGACCAATACACGAGGATCACCCCACTCCCCCTCCCCTTAGCTACGCCTTTATCAACCCTTCTACCCCCTTTTGTGTGATTAGCAACTAATTTCTCCCAAAAGTATCAACCCTAAATCAAAAGCTAAGGTCAGGAGAGTAACGTAAATGATCACCAAGTAAAGAAGCTTCTGATTGTTAAACAAATTCTCCTCGGACGCATCTTTGGAAAGATATAAAGAACAGTATGAAGAATATGTAAACTGATGTTGGGATGTAAAGGGCTTAATATGAGCAATTCTCCACTTTTTCTCCCAAATTTAATCAAGAGAAAAAATAAAAGCCATCGTCAGAGAAAAAAAATCCATCTGAACACAGTTCAGAGCAAATGTACTCGATTGGCTGCCTGCTAAATGGTGGATAAACGAGAACCAAAAGAATAATGAGAAGAGTCTTGGCTGAATCAGCTGTTTAAACAAACTGACACGAGAGGTGTAATTCAATCCTGTCTGTCTGTTATTTAGGAAAGAACTTGTCATGATTGAATTTCATTCTAGTGACAGGCTCTATAGTGAGCAAATGACATATCGAGATGAAAATAAAAATGCGTTCTTTGCTTTTTTTGTAGGGGTTAAAATTTTTTTTTTTTAAATTTTTGGTAGACTGGTTATTTAGTTTTCAAAAAAATTTCATTTTGCTACGAGAACATTTTTAAATTCTTAATGCAACATTTCATATATTTTTTTTCAAAGTGAAATTAAAATTGTCATTTGTAGCCGGACTGCCGTCAATTATTGAATCAATCATATGCCAAGGGGTGAAAATCAGGATAAATTAATTGACATTAGGATAGGAGGTGAATCGAACATTAACGTACGAGAGAGGCTTACGACTTGAAGAAGACTTCAATCCTGCCTGTACGCGAGAGAGTTTCATGGCAAAATTTTGATCATTTTCTTTTCGACGTTTAAAACTACTACCAGCATAATTACGGCTTCCAAATAATTGTTTGATGAGAAAGGAAAACAAGGGGGAGAAATTATAAACCAACTTGATAGCCAAAATGATAGCCAAGGACGGGGAGGTTTAAAATGGATTATAGATGGTAAGATGGAGTATTCAGAAATGGCTAGTGATGTCGTCCCTGTCGATGATGATCAGATTTTTCACCTTTGTTCTCATTTACCAGACCCTTCTTTTCAAATGGCGTCTCACCGCTACCTAAGCAATTTAATCACTGGTATCATCAACGCCATCTTTGCACCGTTCGCTGTAATTGCTAACTTTTTGGTGTTTGTAGCAATCTTGCGGAGTCCGACTCTTCGTTGTACACCCTCCTGTATGTTGATCGCCTGTTTGGCTTTATCAGACTTTTTAGTCGGTGTAATCGTGCAACCAGCGTACCTTGCTTATCGACTGAGAGAAAACCAATACGGTTATGTAAACTGTGCAGTAAGACTCCTTTATGCAAATGGTTTTTACATCTGCTATGGAGTCTCTTTCATGTCCTTGAGCACAATAAGCTTTGAGAGATATCTCGCTTTAAGGCTTCACCTTCGCTATAAATGTCTGGTAACTGTGCGTCGAGTGTTAATTTTCGTAGTATTTATCTGGTTTCTAAACGTGGCCTTAACTTCTCTTCAATGGGCTCGCATCATCAAAATCGCGCGAGGCACGAGCTTGTTTTTCTGGTTCATGTCTCTTTTCATCGCAGGGATTTCTCAGTTTGGAATCCATCGGATCGTGCGCCGCCACTGTCGAGATATCGAGCGGCATCAAAGGCTATCAGCTGGAAATCAAAACTTTCGAATCCAAGTCAGGCTTGCAGTTAGCGTTGCTTACATTGTGGGGATATATTTCTTCTTTAATTTGCCAGTATTGGTTGTTACCACCTATCACCAAATTGCGACTGGTCACATTGACTCGTATGATTACTACAGCTGGAGTGAGACTATAGCTTTCTTGAACTCCTTCATAAATCCTATGGTTTGTTGTTGGAGGAGTCAGGACATCAGGAAAGCTATAAAGAAAATGCTACCTGCAAGATTTTTGTGAGACACATATTGGAGGGGAATAGAATTAATGATACCGAAGATTATAGCCAATGGGCGACTATGGCCTCCTGGACCTCCTTCATAAATCCTATGGTTTGCTGGAGGAGACAAGACATAAAATAAGCAAGCAATAAAGAAAATGCCACCTGCAAGATTTATCTAAGACACATATTGGAGGGAATTTAGAACTGATGATATAGAAGCAAATAAACAATAGTCGGTTCTGAACAGTCGAATTTCAGACATTTCAGCTGGTTATGGAACCTTAAAGTCAATAGCAAGCCTTGGCTTCATTCATTTAGCTTTGCTGCAATTTACGTTTCGTGTAGAAAACACGTGTTACCTTTCAAATTCTCAACCAACTAGACGCGAAAAAAACAAAATTTTAAGGATTTCGACACTCGAAAAAGCTCACGAGAACAGTGGTAAATTAGCATATAACTTCTCCCATAACATCTATACATTACCAAGCAAACAGGTAGTGAGAATATTAAAACTTATCAGGTACAAGTTGTAACCTCGATCCGACACCAAATTATCGTAACTAATTTACAAGGAAATGTGTAGCAGCTAGAGGGGAGAAATAAAATATTATCTTGGAAGGACGACCTTCAGTACTTTGCAATCTAAAATGAAGATCAGCATCACTAGCGGATGACGCAGCTAAAAACGGAAAGGTCTTTTCTTTGTTCCATATCTGCTCGCATGCGAACACGTCTGAGTGGATAAAGTTAAATATCTAATGTTTTAAAAGGCTATAGTTTAGATACAAGTTTAACACTACTAAATTCTAAACTCCCAATTTTACAAAAACAAGAAAAACAAAATTGCTTTTTTCTTCTTGATTCAATAATTATAAATAAACACTCTCAGTTCGATAATTTTAGTTTTAATCTACCATCGTACCAGAGAAAAAAAACCTAAACAGAACTTACATACAACTTCATTGTTAGGCCAAGCACAAATTGCTTTTACATTAAAACTGAGTCTAGCAACAGAAAACTCCTAGGAGGGATTGACAGCATTTATTGACAGCTTTTATGCGGAGTGCTTTGGGTAAGGTAAAGAGTCCGGAAATTCTAAGGATGTCAGCAAAGGCTCGGTATCAGGTGCTCAAACTTCGAATTTTCTATTCGTGGGACAATATCATGAAACTTCCCTTTAAAATATTGTCTACGATTTCCTCGTTATCCCTTTAACCTCCATGGGTGACTAGCATCTAATTTTCTTTACAATATCACCCAGGAATCAAACGTTAAGGTCACGAGAATGATAGAAATTAACACTAACTAAAAAAGGTGCTGATTTTGTAACAAATTCTCCTTTTCAGCTCCATAGGAAATGTTTATAGAACAGTATGGAGAATTTGTATTCAGATAACAGGGTATAAAGGGTTAAGTTCATATCGACATATTGCTATGTAGTCATGTGGACTGAAGTTGGTGCTTAAAGATTAAGGGGCCGTAATTTGTCGAAATCTGACCAAGACAAGGTTCTTATCTAGAGGTATCACCCCAGGCGTCTTGTCTTTTTTTGAATCTATGTCTTGCCAGCTGCAACCTCTTCCAAATTCTTAAACCTGTTATCTCATTTCGAATGGACTTCACTCTCCACAGGCAAACCAGCGGATTGACAGATGAATTTATGAACACTACCGTCTCAGCCCAACTGTATAGGTTGTAGCTAGTAATCTGTTTAGATGCTACTTGGTGAGATATGGTAATGACAAGCACTGGCAGGTTGAGCACAAAGTATACCCCTAATATGGATGCAATGTTTATCGCGAGCTTGATTTGCATTTGCCGACCGCGCCAATGTGTCTGGTTTAAATTTCGAATTTGCCTCTGGTGATGCCTTATTATAGGAATAATTCTACATTGGGTGGCAACCGCGATGAGAAGGGATGTAACCCACAATCCAAGATGAATTGTTCGAAAAGTATAGTTATAAGCCCATTGCAGAAAAGTTAAGGATATATTAACAAACCATAATAATGAAACTACTTTCATTACACGATCCTGGCTGACGATTTGAAGGTATCGGAGATGGTAGAGCAGAGCAAGTAATCTTTCGCACCCAATGGTGCATAACGTCATAAATGACACACCATAACACACGTAGAATCCTGTTGAGTATAACATCCTGACGGAACAAGGGACAAATCCATGCTGGTTTTCTAGCAGTCTATACGCAACATAACTGGGTTGCAGAACGAGGCCAACAAAAATGTCTGATATGGAAAGGCAGGCTAGCAGCAAGTTCGATGGTGAATGGAGAGAAGACGTTTTGTAGATAATGAAAACTATCAGGAAATTAGCTGCCACAGCAAACGGCGATAAAATCGCGTTCATTGCAGCTGTCACTAGGTTAGCGGTTCTACGATGGTAGAACTCGTCAAACTTTGGATCTGGAAGATGAAAGCAACCACTATCTTTGGTTGAGCCAATCGAAGGAAGAACGGTTGTGAGATTTTGTTCTGCTGCGGAGAATTCCATGTCACACGGTTTTGTTTGCCTCTCCTTAGGTAAAACAATGCAATTCAAGGAAGTCTCTTCCGGTTGCAGGTTGGAATTATCAGGTGTTTTTAACGATTTTGACTTATTCAGTGATGATTTCTCCAATCGGTATTGTATTTAACAACAGATATAACTCCCCGTCGACTGTGTTGGCGTGTCGAGAGCTATCGTTTTGTTTTTTTGCAGTCGATGGAAGTGAGGCGCTTACGAACTTTAACCGCTCCACGGCTCAAAACTATCACATAGGTTTTTTTTAACGCAAATTTCAAATGAAAGGAAAGTACTAGCAACAATTACTAGGAAAAGCGTCCATCACCTGTCATTGTGCGTCTAGGAGAAGAGAGATCAATTGAATAATTTCATACCAGGTTAAAATTTAGCCAATCTGTTGAAAGTTTTTACAAATGCCCAGAAATCCCCAGGCAGATTTCACTCATTAGCAGTACTTCCCTATAAAGAGTAAAGAACAGCTAGGATAAAAATAAGACTGAAAATCCTAATGGATTTGGTAACTTCTTAATTCGATCTTAAATTTGGCAATCGGTGAGCGACAACTCACAGGCAACGCAGTAATTGCTGTCAATAGCTTACGATGACGATGCATTAGTGGGTTCGGTAAACACGTAAGATATAAAAATATATTTTGCGTCCTTTTCCTCGATCTAGGGTTTTTAAAGTAATTTTTAAAAAAATTAAGTTCTAAATTTTATATTTGTTCAATCTTTTGGTAAAATCTGGTATACTGGAAGTTTATCTAAAATTGTACACCACTCATTTTAATTCACTGAATAATTGCAACTTTAAAATAATTTGGGCTTGGGAAAGCGTAGGTGGCCAATCCTACAACAACACGCACAATAGCGATATAAATTTTACGTAAACTTTGGATAAAAATTCAACAAATGGACTTCCATGGATACTTACGCAAAATTACGTTTTATTTTTGCAAAGCCTGAGGAGAAGCACAAGGTTGACTAGAAAGTTTTGCCGCAACTCCTTTCTATTCGTAATAATTTCCTTCAGATTTAAATAGAACGGCTCTAGACATGTTTACTTAGTTAACACAGGTTATTCACGCAATAAATTAAAGTGGCAAGTGCTGGGAACTTAGACATCTGGAAGATGCTACACAAATTTTTTCAAAATGAGAGTTTTTCAAAGATAAACCAATGCTCAAAAATCTTCTCCGTATTGAATTTTGTAACTACGAAAATAATAATTTTGTAACGCGCTTAAGATAGAAATCCTTCTTTGGTTTTTTAGTTCTTTACAAGTATTTCACATATAGGAGTTATTCATGGTTGGTTAAACATTTTTGTAAGCTTACACGGGATTTTTCTCGCCGTCTGTTAAGCTTAGATTTTCCTTTTTCCGTTAAGATTCATGTTTAGCCCAAATTAATGCCATTTACTAAAGTAGATACGATACTAAACGATATTGAACCTTCGCAAATGTTGATCTGCTTTGAGTATCGATGTTTTGCCAACTTCTAGCAACCCACTCAATTATGGAAAATATTTATTATTTGCAGTGTTAAATAAAACATGCATTAGAACTGGTCAAGAGATTTCACGACTTTGAGAATTAGAGAGGATAATTCCTCAAAGTTATTCCTTGCTTCTTTTGCTTTTTTTTTTTTTTTTTTTTTTTTTTTTTTCCGGGATGTCAATTTTGTGATTCGTGTAGAATATTATATGTATTTTATTATTCTCAAGGCCTTCCATAATCAAAATTTCTCTCGCTTGTCAATATTTTTAGCAATGCCTGTCAAGTTCAATGAAAAAATTTCTTTTGATCCCAACCAAACAAACCACCCACGTATCTTGGGCTTGATTATTAAATAATGGTTCTTTTATTTATTATTACACCACGACAGTTTTTAAAAAAATATTCACAACGAAATTTTCATTAAATTTTAGCATTTTAAATTACCCATAGAATAGAAGTCTTGCATTTGATAACCAGTAGCACGGCAGGTCATTTTCACCCGCAAGTATTCGTTAGCTACGCCGATGACATGTTTACCTAAGTGTTATTGAACACCTTGGGTAAGAAGTAGATGAATACATCAGAAGACAAGATGGCAAGTCTTCTTGAAGTTGGTCTAAATCAGCTGTTTTAACATTTTTTTTAAAAGCGCTTGATGACAAGTCCCTGAGAAAAACATGGCCAACATCACGAACGCCTCGTCAACAACGGTTTCTTCGGATTTCCGTCCTCTTGGGAAGGACTTTTGCGTGTTGATTTTGCCTGATCCAGAATTCGGCAAAGCAGCAGAACGCTCTACTACTAATCTTGTAACAGGTGTTATAAATGCAGTGTTGTCGCCGTTCGGTGTAGCGGCAAACTTTCTCATCATCCTGGTTATCAGCAGAAAGATATCTCTTCGGACACCCTTGAACGTGTTGCTAGGATGTTTAGCTGCTTCCGATTTTCTCGTTGGTTTGCTTGTTCAGCCAAGTTACGTTGCCTTCAGATTAATAGAGAACCCGCACAAGTTTGTCCCATGCGCTTTACGGTTGTTCTACTCCACCGGGTTTTTCGTGTGCTATGGCGTTTCTCTTGTTATTTTATGTGTCATTAGCTGGGAAAGACTCCTTGCACTGCTATTTCCGCTAAAGTACTCGCATCTAATACGTTTGTCAAGAATCTTTAAGCTTATAATTCTCATTTGGTTGGCGAACATCTTACTGACACTTCTGCAGTGGGCCCATACCGAGGTGGCCAGAGGCATTCATCTTGGCTCATGGTTGCTTTTATTAATAGCTGCAGTTGTAAGCCAGTTGAGAATCCTCCCAATCATTCGCTACCATCAGCAGCAAATCAAGAGACTTCAATCATCTTATCCTGAAATTTATCTTCCGAATCACACTCACATGCAAGTAAAGTTTGCAGCAAACATCGCATGCATTGTTGCAGTTTATTTGGCATTCAATCTTCCAGTCCTTCTCATCACTACCGTCCATCAAATTGTTCAAATTGATATAAATACCTACGATTTGTACAGTTGGGCCGAGACAGCTGCGTTTTTTAACTCCTCTGTTAACCCAGTAATATGCCTTTGGAGAGTGAAGCTAATTCGCAAGGGGATCAGGGAACTTTGCACCTGTCGAAAGGAGAGAAAAATTCCCAGATATTTGTCCAACACTACATTATCAGACAAAGACGTTTCTCTAGTAAGATTCAGACGTTGCCAAGAACCATCGATAGTCATAATCGTCTCGAATAACGATTTGTCCGATAATGGAGACGAAAAGTTCCCTAAATAATCATCTTCAAGTTTTTTTATAGACACTACATCCCAAATTACAGACATGACAAAGACTTTGGCTCTGTTTTTGGGTCCGAATTCATCTAGAAACTTACCAATGCATAGTAGCCATAAAATTATGCATTGATTTCCGATAAATTTCCCAACAAAGCATCGAGCATAAAGAAGCCAAATGTAGTCCATTATTTAGCAAAAGGTTCGAAATATTTGCATAAGATAAATTCGAAAAAGAAAATTGAAAGCTGTTAAATTATTCATGGAAAATGAGATAAATGGCTCTAATTGACCATATCATATCCTCTGAAAATTTTTCTCTCATGTTCCGTATTACGTCGGCGAAGGAAAACTCTCTATGGCCAGATTTTTTGCTCCGTTGTCTCTAGAGACCTGCGAATCATGTTGAAATATGGGACATTTTGAGATCTTGAATCACTCAGTTCAACAAAAACCTAGAGATAAAATTCAAACAAAATTTATTCCTAAATTCAATTCCATAAACAAATACACCGGTCAGTGTAAGTAAACATATTAATCTAAACAAGTAGAGTTGTTTGTTTTAAAAGAATGTCCTTTGTACATAAACGGTTAACACTTTGCAATATTTACCATTTTAGAGGTTCCTTTTTGAACTTTTTTTCTTTTTTGTATGAATAAAAACAATTCAAGATGTCGCTATGAATTTTTTGCAGTTTATCTTCCCAATTCACAGTTGATCTCTTAAAGTCGAAGTGGCTTCATATTCAGATGACAACCAAATTCATACTTTCTTGAATTTTTTACACCGTTATGGACAACATCTTCATCTCCTCCCTTGCTGGAAGTTTTACATGTTATCCATGTTGCCACGAGTTTAAAAATTGCCTTCCTTATATTTCGACTCCGCCAGCAACAAATAAAAGGATTTAGAGACGAATTCAAAAGAGCAACCGTCTCTGCCCAGCTGTAATAATTCAGGGTACTCAAATTTCCTCTCACTATTTGGTGGTAGGTCGTTACTACAAGAACTGGAAGGTTAAGAAAAATATAAATCCCTACGATATAAGCTATACTGGTAGCAAGTTTTAACTGGCGTCGGTAACTATTCGCGTTCAAGTTAAACTGGTGTTCTTGTCGTCGGATTTGATCGTGATGCTTACGAACGATCCCGACGATTTTAAACTGCAGTAGACCTGAAGTGAACAAGCATACAAACCATATTGTTAAATGAATTGTTCTCACGATGTCGTTGATGCCAGCAAATTGAAGGCAAGTCAGTGAGGCGTTTAAGACCCATATTACAGCGGCGACTAGTAGTAGGCGACGTTTGGTAACGATGGCTTTGTAGCGAAGATGAATTGTCAAGGCGATGTAGCGTTCGCAGCTTATAGAATTAAGCGTCAGAAAAGACACTCCGTAACAGATAAAAAATGACGTCGAGTAGATTATTCTTACAAAGCATGGCACGAAATGGTCTCTGTTTTCACTCAGCCGGAATGAGACATAGCTGGGCTGGACAATAACACCGATCAGCATATCACAGGCGGCCAAGCAGGCCAAGAGCAGGTTGGAAGGATCTCGAAGCCATGCAGCGCGGAAAATTACATAAAGAACGACGAAATTTGCAGTGACAGCAACGGGAGAAAATATGGCGCTGATGATACTCGTTGCAAAGTTGGTGGAATAGCGGTATTGAACATTATGGAACTCTGGATCCAAAAGAAAGAAACACTCCTCCGACTGATTCAACCCCATTTGAGGATCATCCGCGTCAGTATCTAAGCTTCAAAGTTAGAACGACATGGTAATTTCCATACCACACTGACAAACCAGCATGCTGTTCGTAAAATTGAGATGCTGTCTCAATGTCCAAAATTTCTGACAAAAAGGTTTGAAGTCAGGTTATTAACTTCTTGACAGCGGTCGTCATTTCAATATGTTTTTCCGCGATGGTAAGCTTGCATTAGCATATGCGTTAAAATCTTTGTTTCTTTTAATGAACAGCTGAAATAAATGGCACAGCAACAAAACAAATAAGAGAGTGTTTAAAACCATGGTATGAATTTTGGTGCGAATATTGAAATACAATTAACATCCAAACTCTTTTTTTTGTTCATTCACTAAAAGAAAATTCTTCGGTAAAATTTCGAACTGAAGAGGGAATAAAATTTGTTCTTTTTTTTCTTTTCATACTCGAAGTCAATTCGTCTCGTACTAGAGTTTATGAAGTGTATTTATTTCGAGAAGTTATTGGTCTGAACGCACAATTTCAAAGGTGCAAATTAAATTTAGCCTTATGAGAACGTTTCTCCCTTCTAACTTGTCAGAATTCTGTCCAATGACCTTGGCTTCGACATTTGTCATCAGTTTGATCAATGGACCAAATAGCGTCAAGCAATAAACTCTCGCCTTAATTTAAGAGTCAATTTTTACTTCTTTTGATTGCTTGCTTCATTTACTTTGTATTCTTTAAATACGCATTCGTTTATTTCCATGCATAATATTGTGCAAAATATATACAATGCAATTTGGAACTGAAATACATACATATTTACAAGAGTGTACCACATGAACAACAACTTCGTTTGCAGTGACGGCAAGAGGAGTTGTTCTTAGCGTGAAACTCTATATTTAAAAGGGAACCTGAAGCTTTTAAGTCTACTATAGATTTGGAGTGTTCTTATTGTTTGGTAAGTTTATATTACAGTCGAACCTCGATTATCCGGACTCGGTGGGACTGGGGTAAATAGTCCGGATAATCGAGAGTCCGGATAATCGTAAATATGAATATTAATGAGACAATGTAAACAAAAGAAATAAAGATAACACATTTTTAATTCTAAAAGTTTGCTTCAACAGATCGCTTTCGCTTCGTAGACACGTTGTCGTTTTGAGTTATGATCGTCTCGTGTGTTCACATAACCCACGCTCAGCTTAGCAACAAAAACAGTACCGAACAAATCAAAATTCAGCTGAACGCATTAGAATACTTCGTCTCTTTTTGTCTCCGAGCGCTCGATCTTTCGAAAGCGGAGCGTGTAATGCGCTGTTTTAAACGCAATTTTCCTGACTTTTAACATAATATCTGAATTTTTTTACCTCCTAAAGTTTTTAATATCTAATGTCATTAATATTCATGAAAAAAGCGGGACCAGAGAAAAAGTCCGGATAATCGAAAAGTCCGGTTAATCGATGTCCGGATAATCGAGGTTCGACTGTATTGTACAAAAAAGATTGTACCTTCGTGAATGAGTTCGAGTATATATAGATGAATAATGTCATATCAAGGCTGAAGAGTAATACTAGTCATACAATACTGTTTTTTATGCTTGACAGAGGAAGTTGTGAAATTTAGATTCAGCCTATTGTTGAAAACCAAGCATATGCAGTACTTTCAGAAAGTGTTGTTGAGAATTGATTAAAAACGTGACAGGTGATAAAACACGAAAATGAGAGTTTTTTTGGCGCATTAACACGATTCCAAACGCCACAAATAAATTTCATGTGATATTATCTAACATCAGATGAAGAATATCTAGCTTTTTTCGGCTGAATATTAAATGCAATCACCAATTACATAGGTTTTACGCCATTTCGTTCGATGATTGGCGTAGGAAACACACGCTGTTATCTCGACCAATTACGTAAAGAACCTAAAAGCGACTTGGTCACTCGCGTTTTCCCGCCCTTCAGTACGTTTCTCGTACTTTCTTAAACCGTTTAATCCTTAAGAGTGACAAGCATATAATATCTCATTACTACATTACCCTTTAATCAAACATTAAAGTCACGAGAATAAATGAGATGAGCGCGAAATCAAGATATATTTGATTGTTGGTCAAATTCATCCTAGTAAGTGCCTTAAGAAATTTACGACATTGCAGTTTGGCGTTAGGTTTCAAAAGGGTTGAATTCATTTTGGCTCCTTGAAATATTACCACTTAATTACTAATTACTTTTTTTATTACTTTCGTTCTGTTTTTACGATTCTCGATCGAAATTAACTTAAACATTCCAAGTTGTAATTACGCCCTGCAAAACTCGTAATATCTCTCAACTTTTTAATTGAGTTCTTCACCTTCATTTCCTCTGGATGACATAAGCTGACAATCTCATTTTATTTCCCTTCGTCGCAACGGATGTATTGCCATGTTCCATTTTAGTCAATGTTTTATTCAAACAAACGATCTTCGCTGAGACGGCTTTTCGTATCCCTCTGTTCCTCCAACAACAGATGATAGGATTAATCGACGAATTTAAAAACGCTATAGTTTCAGTCCAGCTGCAAATATTAAAATTGTCGAGATGTCCTCCAGCGAAAAGATACGCCATGATGAGTAATACTGGGATGTTGCAGGTTATGTAGATTACAACGATGTACGAGACATTCACTGCGAGTCTTGTTTGGCGCTGAAGATTCCTCTTTGGTGGCATGTGACTGAAGCTGTTTATTTGACGCTGATGTCGACGGAGAATCCAAAATATTTTGATATGTGTGCCAAAGGTGGCCAAGAGACAGATAAGTAAGAGGAAAGCGTGAATTTTCCGCAAATGCCCACTTTTCCAGATCCATTCCAAGGAAGTCAGAGTGATTTCCAAAACCCAGAGGCTGACAACCAGCTTTAAAACGCGCTGTGTAGTAACCAGCTCTTTGTAGCGAAGATGTAGGCGCAGCGCAATATAGCGTTCAAAACTGATGGCGCTTAGTGTCAGAAACGACACTCCATAACACACCCAGAAGCTTTCGGAATAAATCACTCTAAACAGACAGGGCACAAAATGCAAAATGTTTTCCTGTAAGCGGAACACAATGTAGCATGGTTGTACCAGAAGACCGACCAAGAAGTCAGAGGACGCCAAGCTGGCCAAAAGAAGGTTGGACGGCGAGTGAAGGCCGCCGTTTCGTGCGATCACAAACACTACTAGGAAATTGGCCACAACGGCGAAAGGTGAACATAAGCCGTTTATAATGGCTGTGACAAGGTTCGTCGTGTGACGATCCATTACTGTGTTAAAGCTTGGATCTGGCAAGACAAAGCACTGATCTGAAGAAATGGAAGAATTTCTCTCCTCCAAACTTAATCCAGCCGTTGGATTCATTCTTTCCCCTGCTAACGCCAGAGACAGTTTTAGACAAGCTGAGTACCTTATGTAGGGGAGCCTTTTCAATGACTGCTGCTATCAGTTCTATCATTGACACAGTTTCCTCAGGCTTAATTCGTTTTTTTTTTAGTTCAAACGTCACCTTTCCATTTTACTGTCATTTGTAAAAGCAATGTTATCAGAGACGTACGCGAAGAAATTACCTTTACCTGTCGAATTTATTGACGTTGAACAAAATTTTAATTACAGATATAGATGTTATGAGATGGTGAGGTGATTTATCTAATCGGGCAAATGCAAACTCAACTTTGAGGAGATACTGAGTTGATCCTACGCTCAGCCAGATAAATTCGCAAGGAATGTAACAATAAAAAAAGCGTTGGACTTAATCTCAAGCTGTTTTAGTCATTCAACTTTTTCAGTTAACGTCACGTTTTGTGTTCAATAACAAATGGAAGAAGATCGACAGTAATTCTAATCTGAATTTCTTTAAAAAAATTTTTAATATGATTGTTGGAAGCCCTAAAGTCAGTCGTGCCTATACTGTATAACTCAAAGACGAAATGAAATAATACTTCACAGATTTGAGAAAAATAACGAACAAGAGAGTATGAGGTCTCTCTCGAAGAAAAATTGGTTTTGGCAACGGAACATGAAGCAAAAATTGCAACGAATCGTGTATTTTAGTCGTTTTTCATGCAGTACGTACAGATAAAGATCCCATTAAACCATGGTCTAACATTATTCTCGTAGCATTTTTAAGAATTGGGGGTTGACCATCACAGTAAAACTCGGCTGACGGTTCATTCAATTCAGGCTCTCTATCGTTCCGCTTTCACTGTGCAAGTGACATCAGACACTATCAGAAGTAATGGCCGTATGATAACTGTCACTTGATAAGTAAACTTTCATAAGTTCCATTTGGCGGCCGTCTGATTATTCTTATGCATTCTCAAACTCATTATCAAATTGCATAATGCTTTTAATAACATCTCCGTTATTTTGCAATCTATGTGGTCAACAAAGATGATTTGTCACGGATTTACATAATTTTTCACTCACAGAGGGACTGCCTCCCAAATAAACCCAAAATTAATTTTCCCCTCAAGATAAATAAACAACGAGCATTTGTTCACAGCTTCACCGGTAGCTGTGGCAACTGGCAAATTCCGACAAACTGCATTAAATGGTGTTAAGACCGGGCGAATAATCCTTTTTCTAAAAATACTGTTGGGAAAAGATTATTTACATTATGTTGTTGCATTTCACATGTATGAAATTGCATTGGCTAATTATTCAGCTCTTTTGAACCTCAGTCATCTCATGAAGGCCCTGTTCTTTTAACTTCAAGTTCCAGCATGTGCCTCCAATCAGCAATCTTGCGACTCCCGAGTGGCATTATTTAACTGTCGTGTAATCAGTGCCTAGAAACCAAGTTTCACTCGCGTGCTCTTTTTCGCTTGTTTAAGCACAGGCAGACCACAAAAGGAGACTCCCTTTCTTCTCTTAACAATCTTCGGCCAAAGGTAATTTCGTAAAAGTGGCTCCAAAGGACCTATGAAGTTGAAAAATACCACAAATGCGTCGATTAACATTTCATTTAACTTTATGGAGATATTTAGACCGAGATTTAATATAGATATACAATTTTCAGAGTTTTTTTTTTTATAACCATCAAAGATTCTGTTCCTCTCATGTCATCACTTATTAACCGCAAACACATGGTGTGGTCTGCCTGTGGTTTAAGAGACATATTATAAACAGGGGGTCTCGTTGCCGAACATGATTGGAGACAGCCTGTACAGACGTTTCTCATTCTGATATTTGTGGCTTGACATTCCTCATCGTCGTATTTAGCTTAATCATGTGCAAAGGAAGTTTGAAATAGTATTAAGTAAACACGGTCTATTTCCTATAAATACAACAAATTTCAAAATAGAAGCATTAAGTGACCGCCTAATAAATGTTTTGGGGCACAAAAAAAGCCAATGTCCGCGTTCTTTAACGAGAATTTTTCACTAAATACAGGTCCATGGTTTCTTTAGAAAAGGCGGACTAAAATAGTGACTGTGATGGCTTTACACGTGGTATCGCTAAATCTTTCATAAGATCCGCTTGAATTGACTTCAAAGTAGACCAAGGCTTCAGTGATATTGAGGGCGCTATTACAGTGAAACCAGAATCACTTCAAGGTCAAGTGCTCCTCAACCATTCGCCTCTCCTGATATGTAACATTCCCTGAGTTTGAAATCTTGAGTATGCCTCAGAGAGCGTAAAACAAAACCTGTTTAAGCCAGTATGAATGATCTTTACAGCAGAAAAATTGTAACTTGGACCCCTCTTTTAGTGACGTCCATCAATACCATTGCGTTTTCTAAAATAAAACGCGTGATTAAATGCCTCTGCGCTCATTGTGTAGATATCAGTTCTAAAAACAACGCAACAGGCTGACGATAAGGGAGACACAGAAACGCTTTCAAAAGTCTTTTGAAAACGCATCGTTTTCAAAACGCTTCGTTTACAATGTGCACTGGTAAAACGGGGGTTTTGTAAACTTTCTCGTGAAGAACATCGCACATTGATGCTTTCGTTCCAGTTTTATGACGGTTTTTTAATGTGGACGATAGACAGAAGTGCATTAAAAATGCGGATTTGATAAAAAGAAGAACGCGCTAATGTGGATAGCTGAAAATAGTGTGAAAACGCTCATATGGGTGAAAAAATTTAGCTGAGTTTTCGCAAGGACAAAAATAAATATTTTAGAAGACAAATCACTGTGGCCGGCGCCTTAGTTTATTTCAAGAATTTTAAAACCATTTAGTGTGGGGAATTTCCTTCCGAGTCCTTCCGGTAATTAACGCATCTAATGGCCGTACCTGAGCTTGACAAATGGAGCCAAGTTGACATTTTTCAGGAGGTCTTGGGCTGCGTTACACCCTTCCATTTACCTCTTTTCACGAGTTTTTGGTGTTACGTTTGAGGCAAGCATGTTCTTCAAAGTAATTCTCACGATTCTGGTCTTTCTTTAGAAAACTGTTCTGATAAGCAAAGTGCAAGTTTGCCCGAAAACTTTACTTTTAAGTTCCGACTTATGTCGCCGTCCATAAACGCCCACGGTGTCACGACTAAGCCAAAGAAAGTATGAAATGGAACGGACTTTCGAACAAAGGAACGGACAAACGGACAAATTCTTTTCTGGAAGTAATGATGGCTAAGAAGCAAAAAGAAATCGTCAGCATGTTGTTTTTTGGCAGAACTGTTGCTAAGAAAATTGACGTCAACAGAATGTTAACAGAGTGTATTAGAGGTTTGAATTAGACGTATAAGTTAACGCAACAACTAATCAAAATCCCTGTTCCCACACGCTTAAGGAAAAGCGCACGTGTTTTTCCACTAAAGAATGGTTTTTCTCTCGACTACCAGCGACTTCAATCAATAATCAGCCGTGTAAAGAGTGCGCACTTTTAAGTCATGAGCCAATTTTGCTCGTAATTTAGAGGAAAGGTAAGATATCTTTTAAGTAAAAAGATGACTACATTCAACAGAAAGTAAATATACAGATCCATAAATTCGTTGACCCCCATTACAGGAAGGTTTCACACCTGACGTCCAAGGAAAAATAGCGTAGTTCAAGATGGCGAATGTCTAGAACTTGGAGGAGCTTTTAAAAGGTGAAAACCGTTTTTCGAGAAAAACAAATCGCAGCCTTGTCATAAAGTGCGTGATATATTTACGAAACAGCTATGTGATTAGGAAATGAATGTGGGCATTTTTAAGATTTAAACTTGATTTGAACGTCCAAAAGAATGATGATTATAAGTTTCACAAAAGTGAAATTCAAATGGGGAGAAATGAAGGGAGATAATAGGAAAAGGAGAAACGTCGAAAGAACGGAGTTATAACTTCACAAAGTTAGGGGAGAAATTACGTAACAAAGTATTCGACAGGAATTAAAAGAGGTTGTTGTTAACAAGCAAAGTTTAAAATTCACCAGTTTCCTTATTCTATTAGCATGACGGATGCTGATCGCCTTCATTTATTTATGTTCATTTTATTTCATTTAACCACCACTATGTCATTTTACCAAATAAGGTCACGAGAACGCGCAAAATATACCACGGTATTGCATCGTAAAACAGGGCTAAATATAGAGAAACAAAATGACAGCACTCAACGATCAAAACTTTGTGTTTTTTCCGTTTTCTAGACTTGACTTTTTAAAGACAAGAACTTTTAAGCGCGACAAATTTTTTGTTGGTCACAGAGAACACTTTCATGGTTTCGTTCATGTTGCCTTCGTCTCTCGCGTACTCCCTATGTGATAGATACGATACACAAATAAGGCCGTATTTTGAATTTCAAAAATTAAAATCAACATAAGTGAAAAAAAGGAAACAAAAGTTGAATAATAAATCCCTTAGACAATGGTTTAATATATTATACGTGCGGACATTTTGCTGATCTCATTTTTTTTCCTCGCCCATGGAAAATTATTACGCAACTCGCAAAATATCCGCTCGGATTTTATTTTAAACCATCGGATAAAGTGTATTTATCTACCATTGCACCAAAGTGTAAGAGCCACTGAATACTTGATAATCAAAATGGCAAATAGTTCGCGAGGAATTTTTTAAAAGGTTTGTTATTCAGTTTGCGCAAAGGTAAATTAAAACTAAATCGAATGAATGTAGATAACAGACGTATAGACGGTAGAATGCTGACACAAACATTATAATTCATATCTAATTTGGTAATTTAGTTTTTCCACAAATATGCGACAAGGCGAAGACAGAAGAGTCATGAAAACTTTGGACCTTGATCGAAAAATAAAAAACTATCGGATTCTTACTTCACATTGTGGCAAACGAAAAAAGTTAGCTTGCCCTGTGTTTTAGTCGTGGCTTCCATTAGTTCTCTCTGTGACAAGTATCTTTCCCAATTTGCGACGGAGAATAGAAACTGAACGAAACCGTAAATTTACATAGCTGTATCGAAGAATATCGTGAAATTACTTAATCAATTACCATTTTCACTTTCCCCCTCTGGTATTTAACGAAAAGGGCTGAGAAAGATTGAGGAAAATATTCAATTGTCTTCGCAGTGCTTCTGATTGATGCCTCACACAAACCCTGATTTGTTTAGTATCGAGAGACAAGCAACGTAGGAATGAGAAACTAGTCATATTCTGCTTCGGCAATCTGTTTTCGAACAAGACCGTGAGTTTTTTACCAAGCGCGTTTGCAGGCCAGCAAGCCAAGGCTGAATTAAAAAAATTATCGCTCACATTGATCGCAAATATCAGGGTTAACAGGAATCAATGATGGCCCGCCAGCGGGATAGAAAAATAATTAACTAGCACGCTTTTGCAGTCCATACGAATTTCCGTCGCGTGATTAGTACATTCTAGATAAGCGCCAGCTGCATTATAATAATTGGATTATCCAATTGCTTTTGTTATTTTATGCTTTCCCTCACTTGTTGTGAGGTCCTTTTAGATGAAAATGTTACCGAGGTGGATGAGAAAGAAAATGTAATCGTCGTTCTCTGAATTATAAGTGATCCTAAAATTTGATCCAGAGTGCAACAGAGTCTGCGTTAAATAACTTTAGGGCCCCCAATCAGTCAGGCCTACCCACAGACAACAAGGAGTTTATTCATCAGCTGCCTCGGCCGTTTAATGAGATTTGGTTTGAATAGAAATAACAATACTTGACAGCAAGTATTATCCTCATTTCTTAATATAGAAAAATATTGTGGGAAAGCTCAGCGCGATGAGAGCAATTCCTGTTGCATAACCGGCTTAATTTTTTTCTTTGAACCCTTAACTCCCATGAGAGACCAAGACAGAATTTCTCCCTACAGTGTTAATACAATATCAAGCAGACAAGTCATGAGAATAAAGAAAAATATCATTTAGAGGATTATCAGTTGATCGAATATCCAGTTCTCTAAACTTACAACATAAAAATTGTATGGCAGACAGAAAGGAGAATTACTGATGAGATCTTGGGAGTAGAGGGCTCAACATTACCCTGGTACACCTAAGATAATTTTTTTTGGCACACATATATAAGTATCTTAAGGACTGCAAGTCAAAGTGCGCCGGCTCCTCAGTTGCAGTTAACAAGATGTCTTGGGTCTGGATTTTGACAATAATACCTATAACTTTTCAAACCGCACATGAATTTCGGGTTAAACTTCCTAGAAGATGCGAGGAAATCTCAGTTCCCTTGTGCGTCCGTGTTTTACCATACAACTTCACCCGCTTCCCAAATTTGGTTGGCCATCGCAGCCAAGTGTTGGCTAGACGATCCATAGACTACTACAGCTCGACGTTTGTTGAAGACGCGAATTGTGCCAAGCATGCCGCGTTTTTCCTCTGCTCCTTCTACCTGCCCATTTGCTTGCCAGGAATCGAAGAGGGCGTCATTAAACCATGCCGATTTTTGTGTGAGAAAATCAAGAAGGACTGTCCCGCGATTAGGAAGCAATGGCCAAGTTTTTTGAGGTGTGAAGAGCTCCCCAAGTTCTCGGATGGAATGTGTGTTCAGCCCATGTCGTTTGTTCCCGCTCATCAGCCCGCACGTAAGTCGCTAAGTATTCGTTGAGCAGCAAAATCTGTAGATATCGAACTAATTATGGTATCTGTCGAAAAATCGATTACCTTTAATTTTTTTTCGGAAATAGTGATAAGATAGCGAAGATTGTAGTTCGTCTCTATGTGTATCTTTAAGTCTCTTTAGTTGATTTATTTTTGAATGAACCAAGTTCAAATTCTCCGTTTGGTTCTCTATGGTAGGATCCAAAATTGAATCCTAAAGGTTACTATTCTGAACTCACCACGTGTTCTGAAACTAAAACCTTCAGAGGACTTTAGACACATTTGGACAACAAAACTCTTTCTTTTTCACGAGGTCCTAATTGGCAACAATATTGGCAACAACTCCAAATAGTGTCAATCCTTCACGGTGAATTTTTAACATTGACCTAAAACGTACCTTTGGAATGGTCCGTGGTTTCTTTTCTCTGCTCTTAGAGAGAGGCAACAATTCCAAATTTGTCAGAGAACGATTCGACACATGTAAACATTATCGCGATCCTCTAATCAAATGGTAGATTACCACCAATAAAGACTTGTAAGAGGAAAATTAGAACGATTATTGTCTTAAGTTGTTGTCAAGATTTTGATGCATTGAGACATGAGAAGGAACTAATTATGAGGGAAATCGGTCAAATGATTTTCATGGAAGGTTATTGCTATCATTATATCAATGTCACTATATCACTGCAACTATTTACTTGCATTTCCTTCGTCATTGACATTATCAATATCATTCTGACTATTGTCATTAAAATTTTTTCATCCATTAAACGATGTTAGGTGATGTAAAGGATAACTCCTGTGAAATGGAGCTTCCACTTGATTACCAGCATTACGCCAGCAAACATTTCGATTATGGTAAGGAGGTTTATATATCTGTAATTACTTTATTACATGGCCTGTGGCACAAAGGTACGCGAGCGAGCGAGATGGCCTCATTTTTCACGATTGAGATGGTGCTATTTGATCGGTGAGGCTAAAACGTGCTGGTAAACGGCTGAAATAACTCGATACGCGATAATTTTGTTACAGGACAAGAGTTTCAAGTGGTTTTACAACAACAGAGTCACAAAAACATGCCTTGACACTCAAGTAAAGAAAAGCACTCCAAGTTTCGAAAAAAACACCCGGCGATTCTTTAATTTAATTTTTTTTGTCATATTTTGAATTCTTTTCTGATCATTCTCAACTACTATAGCCAGACAATAGCTTCGTTTTATCTTCCTCTCTCTTTCTTACTCTTTTTTCTCACTTACACCCAAAAGGATGCATTTCTGGTCAGTAATTTCATATCGTGACTGGCGATAGAGATCGCATATATATTAATTGCACTCGATCTCGAATAAGTATAATCTTTCCGCCTATGCTATCAATTCGCCCGCAAATTTAAAGTATCCCTTAAAGTATCCATGAATAAAGGGAGTAAGTTTCTAAAGAAACTGTAGTGCTGCGTCGGCGAGGGATATAACAAGATAGTTTTGTTATCAACTGAGTTGATGAGTTGATATGAATCGCCATCTTAAAGAGTTGTGAAGCTAGTTTTTCAAATGATAGCCCTTCGACAAAGCGAATGACATGTTCTTACACTACGTTTATCTATCCTTTCAGTTATTAAGTTCAGAGTGATTCTGTTGGAGGAGTTGGAAATAAAGGAACAATAATCCACGGAAAAGTTGCCAGAGTATTCAAGCAAGGAAACAAATTAATCCACACCGGCCGCATAAAGATCTGGAGCAGTACTAAAAAGCTTTGCCCCTCTATTAAAGCGAGAAGAGCGTTTCTGATCTGCAGCTATGAAAGCGCGTCAAGGAAAAAACTTGTGCTGTCATCGTCAAGTGTAGTGTTGACGTGGAACGCACAGGCTCTCAAACAGATCAGAAAGTGGCTGCGATATGAAAGAAGAATGAAGCTGACGGAGTAAGCTTATACATTGAAATGATGACGATGATGCAGAAGGTATAGTTTTGTGATTTTAATTTATCTTCCCGGTGAAGTGAATGCAGCTTTCACTAAGTGAAAGCTGTTGACTACAAGTTTCTTTATCGCCACTATTTCAAAACGCTTAAAGCTGGAAAAAGAGATACTATTTAAGAGTGCCTATGGGTCTCTCCTTGACATGTTAACACTTGGTTCCGAAAAAAGGTCAGACATCGTTCATAATTCTTATTCCTCTTAGATCTCATTTGGATCAGTTTCCGCTGATCTCAGCCTGCTTTTCAGCAACTATGAGTCGCATACGAAGTGAGTAAATCACGCTGAGAGGATTACTCGGTAAACTTTACATGAATTCAATCCGCCATTTCCGGATTACCTTTAGCTTTTTTTTCAAAACGAAGCCTGGTGCTCAACCATTCGTAAGAAAATTAATCTAATTTGCCTATGAATAAAAACATATTTTCATATGAAAGTAGCACCAGGACTCGCTTTGAGAAATAGGCCAAAGGTAATTCAGAAATGGGAAATTACCCTAATCCTTGATTTTTTTTTTTTCATGTTTTGCAGCACGGTGCGTTTAACCTCAGAGAGCTGTGGAATGTTTAGAGAAGTCTGCAACAATTCAAAATCAAAACACGTTCTAATATAATAATAACATGATACGACAACGTTCCGGTCACTCGATATACATATCAGTCTTGCAAGTTTGTTGAAAAACGCGATTTTGAACAAGACAGCACTTTTGCAATCTGATCCCAGAGTCAAAGTAGTAAGTTTAACGACAAAGCAGAATTTTTGACACTTAGTAAACTCCACTTCTGTAGTCGATTTGAACAAGAGAGGACGAAGCTCTTTTGATGTCTAGCTGAAGGTGCAAAGATTAAAAGAAATGACTAGCAAAGTTAACTCGATTAGTTGAAGCATTTTAAACAAGAAAGTGGAAAGTACTTTTGCAATACAATAAATGAGAGCAAATTTCAATTGAGTGTCTAAAGTAAATCGGAATTGAATAAAGGGGGTAAGTTTCTAAATAGACTATGGTACTGCGTCGGCGAGAGTATTATCAACTGAGTTAATAACGTAAATTGGCCACCATCGAGCGTTAGCCTTTCGTCACGGCGAATGTTAGCTTTAAAACTCTTTATAATGGCCAATTTACGTTATCAACTCAGTTGATAATACTAAATTACTCTCTAATCCGGAATCGGTTTAGTTTTACTGTATTTCGTTATGAGATTGGTCCTGAAAACTATTGCCATTTTCTCAACCAATCAGATTCAAAACTAAAACCAAGCACGACTTGGCAAAACTAAAACCAAGCACGTGTTTTCCCACGCTTCTAGCAACTTGCTTGTTCCCGTTGTCTCCAGGTAATTTTCCTCGCTGTGATTGACTTGTGATTTATTTCTGAGTCATTTTAAAATACGTAAGACAATGAATATCACTTATCAGTATATTTTACATTTGAATTTGAAACGGTCCACGAATAGAATATCTTTGAAAGATGCCTAAACTATATCTTATACAATAAGTTCTTTATTCAGTCGAATAAGCATTATGTAGCCGGTTAAACAGTAGTTTCCATTTATGACCTGGAAGAGAGAGAAAAATTCTGATTAAAACATATGTGGAATTCAGAATCTCAGCTGCAACTGAAACCTTAAAATTCAGTGAGATAACACAGCTTGCCTTTTCCTGTTTTTTTTTCTTGGAAAGCCTTAAACAAACAACTACTTAATTTTCATAATAAGATTATAACCCATGAACGGAAACACATCGCAAAAACTACTAAAATTAAGTTTATTTTGTAATAGGAAATCGTTATGAAATATTTTTTTAAAAACATGTATCTAGACGATTTGACAAAGGTCATAATTAAATCCAAATTTAAAGACTGATAAGAATGCAATGTTTCAGTCTAATATGGCTGATTACATGTATTTCTGCTACTGACAATGTGATTTTACGCAGTAAAATGAAAGTTCCATCAAAGGCCTTGCCCTAGAAATCTTTATAATCTTGTGCTCTTGGGGAAGGAGGGGGTAATATTTGTAATTTTATACTTGAAGGGGGAGGGGGTAGAATTGGGAGGTGAGGGTGAAGCAATAGTGTTAATTATACCAATCTGCTGAGTTGACATATGGGTTATTTCAATTCCGGCTTTCTCTTTACGAAATGACACGTTAGTGAAGATGGGTTGAAGAAGGGAAGAGTGACTCAGTTCTTAAAGGGAAAGCCCTGGAAATGAAGAGGGAGATCTTTAAATAAAAAGATCCTGACCGCGATCTTTCTTATGAATTATGGGTAATGCAAAACTTATTGCTGAATAAATGACAATATATAGAAGTTAATACTTACTAACAGAAGCCACAGGAAAATTTGCATTGTTTCATCATTACAAACGGTTTTACATCACAAGCATCCTCCAGTGCGATCTCATAGAAACAGTAGTATTTGTCTGAGCTATCTTCACAAGGAAGAGACCTTAGACTTTCTGTGAGAGAGTAAGAAATTTTTCGTTTTAGAATAACAGTGTAAAAGCGGCGGAACCCAAAGGAAACTGAGCCATAACAATGTCAGGGAACGTTGTGCAAACCACAACGGTAACGGCAACAAGAACGCGACAAAATAAGAGATCGGTCGGTAACTACGGTAATTACATGCATAAAGCGATTACAAACTCTTGCATGCGTCCATTCGCGAAATTCTTACGAAAAGTACGACTGACTCAAATTCATTTCAAAATCGACGTCTTCCTCGGCGTTGCTATCCTGCCCGCCTAAAAACCCGTTAGAAAAAGTGACAACGAGTACGGGAAGAAGAAAAAAGACGATAAAAGTTACAAGGACTAAAGAGGTGGGAAGGATTCCTAACATAGCAAACGTATTGCCTGACGAGCAAGGGTTCACTAATACGATCCAGTGAAGAGACAGCCATATTGGATGGGTAAGATTGAGGGAAGCTTGGGGAGAGTAAAAACTTGTCCTAAGCTAGTAGTGGTGAGAATAAAAAATATTTGCTGGGGGGATCTGGGGTCGGGCAATAACACATAATAATGAAGGCTAAAAACTTTATTAAACACTTGTGAAATAGAGGGCATGGTAAGACGAGACGGAAAAATGTTTGGTGGCCTAATTAATATAAAAACATGTGTTTGTAAACAGAAGAGCAGCCAGGTTAAATCAGTACTCAGTTAAAAATGGCGCTGCCTGGTTTTGAAAATTTTAAAAAGGTGGAGCTTTTGGCAACTAATCTTTAAGTATTTTTTTATATGTTTACAATTGCTTCTACAGCTGTCTATAATGTATAAGCATTGTCTTCGAAATCATGTAACCAAACTGAACAATTCTGTTTTACATTTTTGTGTTCTAAAAGGCACGTCACGACACAACAAGGTTCGGGATAGAAATAAACGATTCATCGAGTCTTTTTTTAGAAACTTCATGGCCAGCGTCTCCTTTAAATCGCCGAAAACGTTCAAATCATTTCACACGATTTGCTCGTTCAGGCAGAAAATTGAAGCGCAGTTAATTTTATATTGACCGAAAACCGAAAACCGATGGAAGATAGAGCTAAAGGTTGGCCTAAAACGTTCAGGTTGCCCAATGATAACTTGCTCAAAAGTAACTTTTATACCTACCTTTATCTGCTAACGATATTGGTAAACCAGTCGATAATTCCGTACAAGTCGCCAAGAATACAAGCAGAACAGCTAGACGGAATGCTTTCGATGTCTTCATGTTACCAATTTTGATCATGCTCCTCGCGAAAACAGCTTGTTAGAAGAATTTTAACCGTCGGGTGTCTCAGGAGAAAATTTCCTCTGTCATAGGAAGCAAGGGTTTCCTAGCAAAAGATAGTGAAAGGATTTAGTTCTAATTATCATAGATTTTGTTTCTGCTAGTGTGCAATGGAGGATAAAGCGAAGACTATTTGAAGAACGAAGATGAAAAAGTTAAAACCTGACGAAAAATTTGATCGAAGACAAGTTAATTTCTACAGCTTTAAAGCTTGTTCTCGTAAAAGATGTATACACAAACTTCGCTTTTCCATTGAGAAGGCTGAGGGGTCCTTTGACAGCGTGACTCTTTTTTAAACGGAAATTTAAACCCATGTTATCTTTCAAAAGCTTATCCGGGGGAAATTGGTTTCCATTATTAAAACATAAAAACAACTCCTCTTTTGAAAAAATTAATCATTCTATAACAAACTTGAATAGATCTATTGTAAAACTAATTCTCCTTTCAGCGTTACTGGCTCCATGATAAATATTTTTTCAAGCGAGTTTGGACTCGATGTTTGGCACAAATTTAATATTTTCTTGACATTTATCATGCTCTTCATTTCCATTCTATATAAGAGATGCGTGCTCAGGAAAGCGGCGAAGAATAAAGAGAAAAATTTATTAGAAGCATATAAGGCAAACATTTTGTTTGATTTTCAATTTAAAAATATTAGACAGACTTCCGTCTGGTGATGACATCCCTCTTAAAAGCGAGCTCACACTAATTTAGGGACTTGAAATTATTTTCCCAGGCGGAAAGGGTGCATGCTCGCTCTGCTTTTAATCGTATTTAATTTGGTAATACTTTTGATGTTTGTTTTTTTATTACTAGTTTTTTCTCATACAATCGATCATCGTTAATTTAAACTCGACCTATAACTCCCACTTCCTCGACGCAGAAAAAAAAAACCGAAGGCCATTTCCGTCGCAGGATATTTTCGAGACTTTTCTCAGCAGATTGCTGGAGCAGCCCGCTATTTCGTGCTTTTGTTTTTTTTCGTTAAATTTCAAGAAGAAGGGACCCTCCAATGCTTGGGAAAATCGGTCAATAATCTTGGCTAATTTGGCAAAAATATTTTGGTCGTAAAATGTGACTCGCGTCAAAGTAAGTCTGGCAACCGAGATGAGACGACGTCCGTGTTTGACGTATGTTATAGGCCTTTCTTAGCACAAGTTAACATCAATTCTAGACGCATATTGAATTGTGGTTACCATTATTCTTCAACTCTCTGAAATGGCAAACCAACATAAAATTCATTATCGTACAAACTGGTGATAAGAAAGTCAAAGAAAACTCAGTAGCTAAGTGTTTTTGCTTTTTTCTTTTCGATAATGAACCATATTCCCCTCACTGATTCATAGGGAAATTTTTAGTGGTTAAAGCTGAGAAGCGCTTATCAGATCTTTGTAATTGATATGTTAAACGGGCACGCCACAGCATTTGAGACCATTGGTCCGAAATGCAAATTTTTTCTCTTTGTGAAGTATTTCAAATATCATGGAAACTTGACGGTTCTAGCTTATTCGTTATTCTAGCCAAGACGGCTTTGAAGCGTAGTTTTATTTCATAATATTACCATAGATGACATCACCAAATCTTCTTTGCTCATTGGAGAGAATTCTTAACAAGTTAGCGTTGGAGAACAACGGTCTCCTTTCTTGATAATAAACAGCTGCAGGTTAACTGGACGAAACAAAGTTCTGCAGAAAATTGTTTTCTTTGTTTTGTCCAATACTGTGCCAGTTTAACAAATTATTACAAGATTTTTACATATTAATTAAAGTTATACTAAAACCAACCAAT